TCCATATACTTTACAATAATTTTTTAACGCTTTGTTATTCTTTTTATCAAATTCAAAATTTTTCTTAAAAGACATCAGTGATTGTCTGATCAGATAGATATCTTTTTGGCATTGCATCAATTTTTCTGCATGTAAATGTTAATTTTATCCATACAAGCTTAAGACAAATATTTTCAATTCATATATTAAAACATTAAATTTTTGGTATCATTTCATGATTTGTTAAGAATTATAAATTCATTAATTTTTAAGCAAAGGAAAGGATTAATCCATGTCAAGTTTGATGTTTGTATGGCGTTTGGGGGGGGGGGGGACTATTAATTTTAAGAATTTACTGTAATTGAAAATAATGCACGATTAATAAGTTATTTATATTTTTAGATAAAATTACAAATATTTTACCATTTAAATTTTGTATATATTGCATATGTATATAATGTCTTTTTTTTTTTTCATTTATTTAAATATTTTATTCCTATACTTATATTTCTCATTGTTATATGTTAATAGTAATTAAATGCAAATGTAAATAGTAACATTAATTTTATAAATACGCTTTATTTCATAATTAAAATAATAATTTTCAAAAAATTAAAATCAATTTTGTCCAAAATAATCTTAAATTATAGTAGATTTCAAAAGCAAAGTTTATTTTTTATATAAATAATTACTTCAAATGAAATTAAATGTTATTATAAGAATTAGTTAATTATGCACAAAATTTATCATTTTTCTTTTAACTTCAATTCATGGAATTATAAATAACTAAATATTTTTTGCATTAAAGTAAAGTAATTGTTACTTATGCCATAAATGACAAAATAATGTGAAATTTATTTTGCTTTGTATTTATTAGAAAACGTGGCCGTGATATGGATGAGGAGAGTGCTGAATTTATGCCTCTAAGTAAAAGGATAAATAACCTACACATAAATAACCTTTCGAGAGTACAAAAAGGTTCCCCAGAACGTCTTGAATCAAATTGGTGCAATCAGAACTTTATACCATCTCCTAATCATTCGGAACCATCGCAAGGCTCATCATCGTGCGATGGATATGCTTCCAGTCATAGCAGCTATACAGCAAAATATACACCAGATTTAAACGCTAGTGATAATCCATTTTATTACGAGAACAACAAGCTTTTGTACACGTTACACATGGAACGTTTACAAAGATCATCAAATCATTTCTGACATTTATGAATGTAAAAAGAGTACTGTAATCGATTCTATGAATGTATAAACTTATTATTTTTGTGTGTGTTTGCATACGAAGGAGAAATTTCTCATTTCAATGATTCATTTTTAAGTATTTAAAAATTTTATTATAGTTTAGTCTCAATGGCGTTTGAAAATCATTGGTAATTAATTATTTGTTAATTTTAGAATAACTAAAAACTGTAATATTGATCTAAATTAATTCAAGCTGTATTTTATCAGGATGAAAAATATGCTTTTATAGATATTTTTTAATTTGATTGGACTTTTTATAACTTTTTGCTTTAGTATATTTTGAATATGGTGTTGATTATATAAATAGAACAATTTAAAATCCTTTGATAATAATGAATGCTAATTAAACGATTCACAGAACAATTCATTAAAATAAATGAAGGGCTGTTGTATAAAAAACATTTTTATTTAAGATTTTAAAAGTTTCATGAAAGAAAGGTTAGTCATGAAAATGCATGTTAATAATTATTTTCTTTTCTTCAGATTATGCGCTTAAGAAACAAGATTAGAAATTGAGGCAATCCTTGAAATATGAGATGGTATGTTACTTAGGAACTCTCGTGTGCGACTGTTGTTAAGTATTTAATATTACGTTATTAATAAATGACGTGACTTAAAATTAAAAGTAGTACAAGCTCATTTTTGAGCCAGTGATGATTCGCTTTTTATCATGGGCGGAAAGTGTAACATTTCAAGAAAGAATAAAATGCAAAAATTAGATCCAGCATTATTTGCTAATTTGATACAAGATTTACAGTTCTACTGGAACATTATAAAATTATTAGTCCAAGTATTCGTAAATTCATAATATAGGAAATTTATGCATTTACTTATTTAAAATGTAATATGAATTTATTAATTTCGATAAATGAAATTCTGATAATGTATAATAGGAAGAATCAGGGCATAACATGTATCTTATAAACATTTATCGTTTAATTATAAATATTACTTTATTTATTATAATAGAAACAAATTATGTGGATTACACTAAATACTGGAAGTAAATAAATTTATTATTATTATTATTATTATTATTATATATATATATATTTGCCATATTTCATACAAAACATAAAATATCTGAATGCTACGTACTTGAATGATAATTTAACATTATTCAAGATAAAAAAAATAGATAACCTAAATATAAAATCTGGAATATGCATAAATCTGACAAATTTACTGTTAAGTATAATGAATGTTTGTCCTAGAAATAATTTGTGAATGTATGATATTTTCTAATAATTAGATAAAAAAACAAATGTATTTTGTCTACTGAAACTGTAAATTATATATTTAAAAGTTAGGATACATTGTAAAAAGTAAAATAGTAGAATGAAACTTTAATTAAGCAAGCAATTTTTAATTTAGCAGCTATTGATAAAGTAATGACAGATTATTTTTAACATGATAGTTATTACATCAAAGTTTTCATAATAATAAAATAGACTCAGACTGCTGTGTTTCATACCAAAATAATTTACTTTGTTAGAATCAGTCATTGAGTTCTACAATTATTACAGGAAAAATTATAAACTATTATTAGTAAAAATTACAAATGTAAATTTGGTTTACAAATTTATATTATAAATAAATATTTTTAAAATCAACAATATTATATTTTTTAATACATTTATACTAATTGTTTAACTTTTTTACAAATACTGTATTTATTATTCCAGTAATGTAAATTCATTATAATTATCAAAACTTTTCATTACTACTCTGATTAAATTTTATAATATGCCTGTGTTAGATTGAAACGCTCCTCAATTATATAAATAAAATATTTAGTTTCCATTAGTATTAATCATCCAGTAGTATTAACATATAACAAAACCCTAAAATTAGCATTATTTATAAATTTAATATAAAGTATTAATTTTGATAAAAATTCAGTTTGAAAATATTACATATACGTTTGAAAAGATAACATAATTTTAGATATTAACGATAATTTTATCGATTACATTTTATTTAATGAAAGATTACAAATTTCTATATTAAAGTTAGGTCTATAAGCGAGTCTTAGAAAAATTGACAATAATGATCGATATAAATTTTTTTATGAATATTTAAAAACGTTTTAATCTCTGCCCAATATAATGGTATTTTAGACATACCGTGACCAGCTAAGCTCAGTAAGTAAAAATATCTATTTATTATTATATTACATAAACTAAAACTTATGATTTTCCGTTCAAAAAATTATGCTACTTATAAAAGTTAAATCAAATGGTTGGGATATATTTATGAAAAATTATTTACTTTGAAACGATGTCTGAGAAAGTATTTGAATATAAAGAAAATTTCATATATATATCATACTTAACGCGACGGTGACATTTTATCTTCATATCTTTTCTAATTTGAATAGTTGGTTACCGTTTCATCTTCATTCACTTATTACGTGGCCGAAAATTTTCTGATTATTCCATATGTTCACATAAAGCTATTAACACTATTGTCTCGTTGACCTCAACAACTTATCCCGTATCTCAAGATTTTACAATACCAATTGTCATGGTAATCAATTGGTAACAATATTTTTGACGTTGGCGTTAGTCGTTTACTACATATTCAAACCATCGAACAGGAATTAAAATTCTTTATCCAAAACTTTCAAAATCCCTTATAGTACGTGAAATCATCAATACATTCTTGATTATACACACTACGTATCTTGTCTTTCAGGACTATTTTTGTTTTTTCAAGAATGTTAAATGTCTATGCCAATATAATGTAAATGCTAAAGATCTAAATTAAAAAAGAAAAAGAAATCATTCTACGCACAATGAATCACAATTTTATTTCGTCAATTTGCTTACACCAGATTAATAACCTCAAAAATTTCAAGAAAAATAATAACACATTGCAGTGCAGTGCCACCTAGTGTCAAGAATCGAACGAACTCTTGTCATTGATACCCATAATATTATCAAGAAAAATCAGAATTTTTTCGCCTGGCGATACCAACCAAACAAGAGCTCCGTATTTCTATATTAAATCAATCATGCGTTTCAAAATCGTGTATTCGCATTCTTCGGATGATTTGTTATCGTTGTACTACTAAACATCGGTTTTTATATGGAGAGTTTTATAATCCGAGTTTTTTGTAATTTTATCACTATTACAATTATATATTATTTTTAATCGACAAGTCTACGGGATATTTCAATATCAAGAGAACGAATTTGAATTTACATAAATTAGGTTTTACGGAATATTGAAAAGTATTATACTACTTGTTGCAGAACATCATTATTTACACTGTAAAGAAAGTTTAATAGAAATTGCAATCCAAATGCGATGGATAAAACGAGTGGTGCTGTTTTATAAGCCAGTGATCCAGTAAAGCCTAAATTTCTTCATAGAACTGGACAAAGTAGTCGAGGTCAAGCTCGATACTTGTCGTCATTAAATAAAGCAAATTATTCAATATTAAATAGACGTCAATAATAATTTTTTTTTTTTTCAAAACAAAAAGCTTATAAAAAAAACATCTTGTTTACATTACACATTAGCGTTACGAGGCAAAGCAAATTTCAGGTTTCGTGATAAATATCGGCGTCGCGTTTCTCATCGTACCCGAATGAACATACACAATTTCCATAATTTCCGGCATTCGATAGCGAGTAAGGCCAATTCTCTTATTCTTCTAATTTTATCCAACACCTAGAGAAAATAAAACGACAATATCTCGAACAAATAAATAGCGTCCCATTGCGTCGGTACACTCGATTCAAACGAGAAAACACGGATAAGCATCTCCACGACCTAACCGAGAATTCTCCCCTTCTGGATAAGAACTTTCGGATGTTAATATCCTCGTACTCGTGGGCAGATAGTACAACGCCCGGTACTCGGTATCCGGCCAAAGAATTTGTCGGGTGATTTTGAAAATTGGCGCCCCCTCGAGCTCTCGAACTCAGAGCGGCTGGCGAGCGGCCGAGGACGAGGGTCGAGAGAGTCGCTCGATAGTCTCGAAGCGCCTGGCGGGAGAGAGAAGATGCGCGCGCGCACATTCTCCCGTTTCCCAGTCTCGTTGAGCTTCTCGTGTTGGTCGGACCGTGGCGGGGAGGTGGTAAGAAGTGCTGCCGTAGTAGGGATGAGAGAGAGAGTGCCAAGAGTGGAACCTGTACGTATATCTTCATGTATTACGCACTAGCCGCGGGAAGCACGGGAACTCGTTCGGTGATGCGTGGCTCTCTCTTCCCTCATCTTGCCCCGTCTCTTTCTCTCCCGTATGCATATGTCCGAATCGGTCCCCTCGGCGAGGCCGACGAACTCGAAAAAGTGCCGCTCGCTCGTTACGAAAAAAGGTGAGAAAGAGAGCGCGGGCCGCGCGGCGCGGCGGAGGGAAGAGGAGGAGAAGGAGGAAGGGGTGGAGGAAGCGGCGGAGGAGGAGGAGGAGTAGACTCCGGACGCGCACGCGGGCCTCCAGCGCGACGTATGCGTAAATTAACGGAGGATGTCGGTCCTGCGTCGAGAGTGCACCGATGATATAATGCACCAAGTGCACCCATCGAAATGTAATTCAATGGATTCTTGGGCGCATGCGCGCACCCTAATGCTTACGTGCCTACGTTTTGACGTATTCACATTGTAACGGCTTGTCGATTTCAATACGTCAATGTGCCGTCGTGGCGCGCATGCACGGCTAATCAATAATTCGCACGCGCAGTGCATTTTAAAATCAACGATCTCGATCAAATTCGCGACCCTGGCCTCGCCATCGAGTCCCAATAAACCCAAACTACTATTCGCCTTTGGTCGATCAAGATCGTAAGCTGCGTGCGTAGGTGGGTGCGCGCGGGCGCCTCTTTCGAACGCTGCTGGCGGCGCACTCGGCGGAAAGTCGTGTTCGGTCGTTAAAAGTCAGTCGTGGCGGGGCGAGGTGACGAAGGATCGCGACGCGCAATAATGCTTATGGTAAATACGACGAGAGGAGAGCGGGGAGTGAAAGCCTCCTCTTCCTCCTCCTCCTCCTCATTCACTTCTTCTTCGTCTCCTACTTCTTTGCATTCTTGCGAGCGCGCGCGCGCGCACTACCGGAATCGTCATCGTGCCAGAGGACGCGAAATTCAAAATTAAACGATAAGCAAAGGAGAGGCAACGAGAACGGGCAAAGGGAAAGAAAAAATATTAGCCGCGCAGCGTTGAAAAAGATCGTTTACTTGCTCACACGCTTTCTCTCTTTCTCCGTGTCGTGCCGCGTTCGTGCGAGCGAGCACATAGAGAGAGAGAGAGAGGTTTTGTGTGTGTGTGTGTGTGTGTGTGTGTGTGTATGTGCATGCGCGCGTGTGTGGAGTGAGGTTCCGAGGCCGGGTTAGCCGTTCGTTGGTTCGTCGGCCACAGGTACCGTTAGGTAAGCGAGACGGAGCGAGTGCCCGCTAGAGTGAGAGAGAGAGAGAGAGAGAGAGAGAGAGCGAGCGAACGCGCGCAGCAACGGGCGCAGAAGAGCGAGGCTCGTCGCGCTGTTCACACGCGCGGACGTTAACCGCGTGGTCGGTTAACCTCGGGAACGACGTCCGGGTGAGTTGGATAGTGCGAGCTGTTATCGTGACTGTTGTTACGTGGAAGGCGCGTGGAGCAGCGGTACCAGTGCAGGCCAACGAGGTAAGGCTTTGGCTAGAAGGAGAGTTCGAGGCTGCGCCCGGAGGAGGAAGAAGCGCGGAGGTTAGGTCGATGATCACCTTCCGAGACGCGCGACCAAAACCGTAGTGCCGGTCTTTTCGCACGTCGCCGGGGCCCTCGACTCCGTCCTCCCTCTTCCTCTTCCCCCCTCCCCCCTACCACCCGCCCTATAGCACTGTCACTCTCTTGTCTCTCTCACTCGTTCGCGCGCTCTCTCTCTCTCTCTCTCTCTTTCTCGATCTCGTAGACGGCGGTGGGGTGGTGCGACGCCGCCGGCGATGGTGGTAGTGGTGGCGGTGGTGGCGGTGGTGGTGGTGGTGGTGCCGCGCGTCGGTGGTGCGAGCGTCAAGAGGGAGAGAGACGGTGGGAGCCTGCGCGCCGCCCTGGTGGGGTTGGTAACGCGGCGGTGGTGGTGGCGACGGCTGCTGTACACGTGCCATGGCGAAAAGAGAGAGAGGCCCCTCCGTGTGCCGCGTCGTCTTCACGGTAGCGAGGTGGGGGTGTAAACAACAGCCCCGTCCGTTGGCACCGGCGGGGGGTGGAGTCAGGTGGGGAGGTTCACGGGCGCCAGCTGACAGCACTTGGTTGGAGTACGCGCGCGTGCATTAACGTCGTCGTCGCCGTCGTCGTGGTGTGGTCCATAGTCGCTGTCGCTGTCGTCGTCGTCGTCGTCGTCGTCGTCGTCGTCGTCGTCGTCGTCGTCGTCGTCGTCGTCGTCGTCGTCGTCGTCGTCGTCGTCGTCGTCGTCGTCGTCGTCGTCGTCGTCGTCGTCGTCGTCGTCGTCGTCGTCGTCGTCGTCGTCGTCGTCGTCGTCGTCGTCGTCATCGTCGTCATCGGCGAGAAACGACAGCTCGCAGGCGTTCACGGACTCCGTCATCGCTTTACTCTATACTTCTATAAATGGCGGCTTTAGATCGGGCGCTTCTCGGAAACGGGGAGTGGAAAGACGAGGGCCCCTTTTACGCTTTCGTGGCGTCCATCGAGGGACGCCGCGGCCGGGGAAAAGAATATTGTTATGGCGGGATTGCGTACGCGCGCGCACGTCTGCCTGCCTGCCTGCCTCTTTACTTCCGTTGTGGCTGTATTTCATAATGGCCGACTCGGCTTCAAACCCTTTTTCCTCGATTTTGTATTGTCGTAGTCATGATGGACTCGACCGTCCGAGTTGAACCTAGAGAAAGTCTGCCGCGCGCGCAAGTGTAGAAGCGCCACCATACTTGATAATGCAATGACGAGGTAATGGACGGTGAAACGTTATTCCAACTGGCTACCGAATCTTTCGATTGATAGGCTGAAAGGCAGCGAAGTTTTGCCCGAGTCCGAATGATGAAACTTATGCGTTTTACGCTAGAGCGCTACTCCTCTTAGGCTTGGTTTCTCTCGTCTGGTTTGCCCGAGTGACGTAAGAAACAACAGTTGCTCCGCTCTTCGTCCCCCCCCCTCCGCCCCGAGCCCGTTCGCCCCGTCGCTTCCCCTTTCTCGGCCATCCTTTAATCCAAAGCCCGTATTTGTAAATCATTATTACGGAGCTAACATTCCTCGTCGGCGTGCATTTTCGTTATTTTCAAGCGAGCGCATACGTCACCGTATGACGCTTGGAATTGGAACGGATTAAGTTGTTTTTTCTTCTTCTTCTTCACCTTCTCATTCTCCTTTTCTTTCTTCTGCTTCTTCTTCTTCTTCTTGTTCTTCTTTTCATTTCTTTTCTTTTCATTTCTTTTTAACGGATAACGGGTCAATTTAACGAAGAGGATTACCGAGTTTATTAATAGATTATTGAGATCTAACGATAATAACGAATGGGTCATGTCCCTGATTCCGATAATACTAATCACCAATATGTTCGTTCGTGATAATTTCGATAATTTTAGCTGATTATTAGAGTTTATTTCAATGATTATGTAGAGACGAAATTATCAGCGAAATCTTACATAGCGATTGGTTATATTCATGTCAAGCTTAAAACTCTGGATAATCGGGGACAACGTAAAGTAACAATTAATTATGTCTTAAGGTGAGCTTCAATCGGTTCACTCGTAAAGCAACGGCTTTCCACATAATGTGATTTTTGAAATTGACAAAAGTATTTTTGAACATATTTAATCAATTATCCGGGTTGGCGATGCAACATTAACATTAACATTGTGTTCATTTTACGGGAGATGTTATTCATCATCCTTATTATCTGTTATCAAAATCTTTATCAAAATGCAGGAACATAAAATATGAAAAATTAAGGGCGATGACCTTTAATAAAATGAATATTGGAAATTTTGCTTGAAAAAATTGCGATTTATCTATATTATTTTAAATTCTATTATCGACTCATTAGGCCAAGTCCGTCATTGTTAAAGTAAAGTGTTTTCACCCTTTAGTGCTAAGATTTTAGGTTCAAATTAACAAAAAAAATAAGGAATAGATTATGTCGATAAAGGGTCGGTTAAATTATACCACAAACTTGACGTTTATCGGTAGTACACTTGCCTCGATAATAAATATGTATGTGTATATATTTTTTATCTACGTTCGTATCGATTTTATTTGTCTGTCATCGTTTTAAATCAGTTGGATATGATTTGATAATACAGTTTTGAGATAATATAGTTACAATAATATAGTATAGATAATTCAGATAATATAGTTTTGAGATTATTGACTATAACTCGAAAGCATTAGCGATAAGATATTAGAAAGTTTACTATTGTCTTTGATAAAATCAATCGAAATACCTAGAATATAAAGTCCTCACCCCCCATCCTCGTTTCCGTACGACGCGCGACACATGCGCCGAATCTTGGTGGGTTGGTTGATTTCTCTTGTGCTTAATTTTCAAAGCAAACAATACGAGTTTAAACATTTTATTTTCTGCGAAGGTGAATTTGTACTCGAGCACTCTACGCAGACTCCTTCTCGCACACGTGCAAATCATCAGGTTAATAATAATCGCTAAATAGTGTCGTAAAATTTTGCATACTGTTATTGACGTAAACATTCGTAATATTCGAATTCGCGCTTGCGGTAAGGCAATCTTTGCGAAAAAAACGAATTCAAAGCTTTAAAATTGCATGAAATATTCACCAATACTTTGCATTTTAAATATGACGTATGATACTTCATTGTTAAAAAATGGACAATAAAACTTTACAATACTTGGTGTGTCAAGTAAATGCTGCTATTACCGATAATAAAAGTCTATGCTGTAAACGTGCACGCAATAAAATATATTTTTACAATATAAATTACTTTTTACCCATTATTGCTTTACACAAGGTAAGGCTGACTAATCCGCGTACTTAATGAGAAACGTTTTCCAAGCCCATCGAAGTACGTAAATGATGGGGCAGTTCAACCACAGCCTCTTCAAATTTATGCGTCGTCTCTTAGAAATGCCGAAAATCTTCCACGCCGCGTCATTTACTTTAGATTACATTCGTACGCTAATGAAAACTGACTCCCCCCCCCCCAGCCCCCTACCGCCACCGCCATTAGGAGAGTCCGAACGAGCGGCTTTCGACACTGAGTCATTGAGCTAAACGTATGTCAGATGTTTATCGCCCAGGTGCTCCTCGCTCGCGCAAATGCTCGAAAATCATTGCTGCTTATCACCGCCGCCGTTACTCACGTTCCATCTGACCGACCGGTTCATCAACCGATCCATCAACCGATCCATCAACCGATCCATCAACCGATCCATCAACCTATCGTCAACCGATCATCAACCGATCATCAACCAAGCATCAACCAAGCCCCACGATACTTCCTCCTGGCGCTAACGCTATCCTTGAGAGTTCCGTATACCGGGGCGTCCTCGGTCATTGCTTATGGAAGCTCCGCCAGCGAGATTGATAATTCAGGGGCTCTGACGACACCGATTCGCTTATCCATTGAACGCGCGGGAGTGCACGGCCGCGCAATCCTAATCGAGCTTATTGCGCACTATCCGATTGCCCGTTACGCTGTCTCTTTATCCAGGCAATTTCATCGTCTCATTCCACGGCAAAGTCTTGCCGAATATCGCATCCTTATTTCCTTGGACGTCGTCCCTTTGCCTCTCCTCGTTGTTTGTCCGTCCGTCAGTACGTCAGTCCGTCAGTCCGTCAGTCCGTCCGTCCGTCCGTCTATTATCCTCCGTGAGCGCGAGGCAAATCGATAGAATAATTTTACGTAATGCTCGTGTCGGTGTGCGCGCCAGCCGTGGGACGCAAGAAATTGCGGGGCTTTTTGCGCGTGCCGCCGTCGTCGTTGCCGTCGAGAATAACGCCGTCCAAGGGTAAGAGTGTCGACAGAGGGCAATTCCTCTGCCTACTTAGGCCCGAGATGAGAATGCCAGTAGCAGCATCATTCCGACACTCGCTTGCCCCGTGCTCCTTTGAATGATCCACGCGCGTCGTTCGAGAGCTGTCATCGAATGTCCGAGAGGGATGATAGGGAGGGAGGGAGGGCATGCTTGTTTTTATCAATTTTAAAGTGGCGAGATATGTGCGACCGAATTCCTTGAAACAAATATCACGAATTGTTCGGGAAACTGTTATGTAGCAAATAGTCGATCGGCTCTCGTTACGCTGTCGCCTCAGTGCTGCCGCCGGCTTCAAAATATTGCGCGCGCGCGCGCGCGCGCATTAGACCAAACAACGCACGCGCTGCCTCATTATCGTAATTGCCATCTTATAGTTGGTGGTTCCCCATATAATGGTATCGAAGCCGATGCATCGCGTACGTGTCCATTTTGATATTCGAATGTTGGCTGTGATTGTACGGTTGCTGATGATTTTTTAATAAAGTTCGAGGTCCGCGCGTCGGAAAGTAAGTGTAGTCGTCGGGTGCAACAGAGAATAAACGCATGAAAAATAGTTTGATAAATGTAAATCAAATTAATTGCGTACGCTCGTGCGAGAATTGCAATTCGGATGCCTGCAACAGTCACATTTGTGCAATAATCGTTGTAGGCTTGCAAAATAACGAACAGATAATTTAGATTGCCATTGGCGATTAATTTTAATGCATATTTGAAATGACTTTGGGACGTTAGATAATGCAAATGCAGATAAGCATCGATATCAATCAATAATATTTCAATAAACCATTGGGAGGGCGTTGATTTAGCTATGGTTTTGGTGACATTTATTTTTTTCTATTTTCGCTTACAATCGCTTATTATCGCTTATTGTCGCTTATTGTCGCAATAATATTTTAGCAAAAATATAAATAATTGTTACGAAAAATTATTATGATATTCAAATTACTTTTTTCCGTATTGGCTCGATCGTGGATATCGACAAATGGGGCGGGAACGACACTCTGGCTTGTTTATCAGTAGTTTATAAAGAAGTTTTTCAATTACGTGCATATAATTTCAGTTTATAAAATAAGAACCTGGACGATTAATAATGACGGTTAATAATAATAAGCGCTAGCAATTATTACAATTACAATGGATAGCGAGCGATCGAGTGGAAAAAGACAAAACTATACATAATAAACGGGCTTGATTTGGCCAGTTGGAGAAATTGATAAGATCGAATAAAGCATAACGAAGATTCTCTAATGGAAATAATAGTGTGAGAACTTCATCATGTCCACAATAGGGGAAAAAAAGAACAAAAATAAAGTAACAACGTCTCGCTCTGTGTCCCGTCTGCCCCCCCCCCCAACATTGTATCTCTTGGATAAGACTCGCATGGACTTTCTAAATTCCTGTTGGCCGAGCTACACTCGGAGCAGCGCGCGAATGTACCGACGAGTGCGAATCTAGAACAAAACTCGGTTAGAAATTGGAGCAGCAGCAGCAGCAGCAGCGGCGGCGGCGGCGGCGGCGGCGGCGGCGACAGTTGTGGCTGCGACTGTTGCTCTCCGCGCAAGACCTTGGGGCTCGACCGCGTACGTCGCCGCTCGCTGACAACACGGTGATATCGTGTGGCTCGCGGGGCTGGCGGGGCAGGAAAGAGAGAGAGAGAGAGAGAGAGTAGAGAGGCGGCGACGTTTGCGAAGTGGGGGTTAGGGATATCGTTAAAGGGGCAGTTCGCCGTGGATCGAGGACGAGCCAACTCCCGGTGGAGAGTCGGCGCCTCGGTGGTGCAGCGGCCGGTCGTTCGCCTCGTTGGCCGGCCAACGGTTGAGGCGAACGGTTCATTCTGTGCTGCGGCCATGTTTTCCACGGCGCTTGGGATCCCGGGGCATGCGCACTAGCGGCGCGCCTTCGTCCGTCTCTGTCGGGCGCGCGGTCACACTTGCTGTTTCTCTATGTGAGCGGGCGCGCGACAGCACTGCCGCGAAGCGACGACGACGACGACGACGACGACAGCGGCGACCACCACGATTACGTTATCGTACAACGTGTATCAGTAGCGAGAAAACAGAGAAAGCGAGTATCTATCCATTGTAGTGACGGATCTATGCCATACCAGCAAGAGAAAGGAGTTGGTTGCTGCTGCTGCTGCTGCTGCTGCTGCTACTGCTGTTGCTGCTGCTACTACTACTGCTACTGCTACTGCTACTGGTAGTGGTGGTGGCGGTGGTGGTAGTGGTGGTAGTGGTAGTGGTCCTGGTAGTGGTGGTGGTGATTGAGGTGGTGGTGGTTGAGGTGGTGGTGGCGGGGCCGGCGGTGGTGGCGGGTGTCGGGTGGTAGTGGTAGTGGTAGTGGTAGTGGTAGTGGTAGTGGCGGTGGTGGTGGTGGTAGTGGTGGAGGAGCCCGTGGGAGATCGGAGGAAGGCAAGCAGGTCGAAGTCGTGGTCGATAACGCGAGGAGTTGCGCCTCCACCGCCGTCCCCGTCGCCTACTTCTTCTTATTCCGTATCTCTTTCTCTCTCTCCTATACTCCCACCGACGACGATGTCACCTCTCCCCCCCGCTAACTCGTCATACGGCCAGCCTGCTCCTCGTGCGCGCGCGCGCTCGTTCTCTCTCTCTCTCTCTCCTCCTTCCCTCTCTCTTTTTCCTATCTCGAAAAAGAGAGATAGAGTAGCGAGTAAGTGAGTGCGTGTGCGTGTGATAGAGAGAGAGAGAGAGAGAGAGAGAGAGAGAGAAAGAGAGACAGGCGTCCCTCGCGCACCAGGTGTCTCCAACGAGCGCGCATTTTATTTTCTCCTTGTTTCTCTCTTTTCCAACTCTTGGACATTACACGACAATCGTCCTGGATTAGGAGGACGTGGAAGCGCCGTTAGGCCAGACGAAACTCGGAGGAAGGAAGCAGAAGAGGAAAGACTGGGGAAACTGCTGCTGACGGACGCGCACCACACGGCTCACCTCCGTATCGCTGACGAATCACACTCGACTATCGATGGTAACGTATATACGCATATTCTTCGGGGTCATCCTCACTAAAGATAAGTACTTGTGCACAGAGTCGCACAAAGTACAAGCATCCACTAGCTCTCGCACGTCGCTCCTAAATCCCCCTTCCCCACAATCCCGCT